TACCTCCCTGAGTACCAAGTCTCCAACACATGGGTCTTGGGGGAACATTCAGGATCCAAACTATAGCATCATCTTACAAATGTTATTTAGTTTCTTCTTTGACCTTAGTGTTATGTTGTGTGTTCACTAGAAACTAAAGAATTAAATGCAGTGCTGAGGACACAGAGCTAATTTGGTCCCCAGGACTTATTAGACAGTCAGCTTAGCTATACTTGGCCCATGTCAGGTTACAGAGAGACCCTGTCTCAATAAACATGAGTGGACTCTGAGGAGTGATTCCTAAAGTTGCCCCTACATACATGCACGCACATGAACCCATGTGTGCACACACATAGTATGAGCACAGGCACGGGGTGGGACAATTAGAAGTGATCCCACTGGGAAGAATGTAAATCCGTGGTTGGGAAACAGTACATTTATTTGAGAGGTAAGAGAGTAACTTGGAAACTCATTTAAAATCTTTCAAGACTGGTACATGGTGTTGCCTGCAAGCCGAGGGTTAGAAAGAAGCAAGGAAGGAAGAGTCAATTAGGACAGTGTGAGTCTTGGAGGGATTTGCAAGAGGCTGGAATTGAAGTGCCATGATAGCATTGTATATTAAGGAAGAACATGACATGGGGAAATGCTGCACAGAGAGGGGGGTACGTGATTTCCAAACAGGAATAACACTATGGTAGCAGTTAGGAGACAACGATTGCCAGTCTGGAAAGGAAGGATAACGGCTCGAAAGCAACAACAAGGCGGAATGTACAAGGCACAGAGAAGGGAAGGGCTCTAGGAAGCAGGGGGAATTTGCTATGGTTGGCAGTCAGTCTGAGAGGGTAACAGCAATAAATGTCTTCTCCCACTAGTCTTCAGGAATCTAGAAGAATGCCTGGCACTACCTCTTCCTACGTGTGTGTGTGTGTGTGTGTGTGTGTGTGTGTGTGTGTGTGTGTGTGATGGAGAAGCTAAAAAATCTTCCCAGCATGGTGCCTGGTCATCCTGAGGATGCAGCTTAAGAAGTGGACACGCAGTTCTGTCATGGCCCAACAAGAGGTCATGGTGAGAAGAAGAAACAGACAAACACAGTCTTGAAGGAGGAAGTGGAAGGAGACATCAGGCATGAAAATACATTCCTGTTTGCTGCATGTGAGGTACTGACCCTGGGAAAGCGGGAACACTACTTGGAAACAAAGGTAGACACAGACACCTGAAGACCAAAGGGATGAAGAAGACGAAATCAGATTTTCTCCCCAAAGAGCCTATTTCCTCAACAGAGATTAGGTTCTAAGAAAAGGGATAAACAGAGAGCCCACGCCTTCAGAGACAACCGGAATGTCTTCTCTCCAGCCTCTGGGACAGATCAGAAGCCTGACTCTGAAGATGACAGCAAGCCCAGATCTTCCAAGAAATGAGTTTACTACAGCCCACAAGGGTCACAAAGGTCTCCCAGGGCCCAGTGTTGCTATGCACAAGTCACCATCTCCCTGGTGATCCATTTGGACAGGATCGATTCTGTCTCAGTCTGTAAGATCTAGCCCAAGACCCTCAGCTGTGTGACAAGGAGGGCTATATCCATTTTCTAGTGCTTTTGAGAATCAGGGAATGTTTACACAAATACCAGAGAGCTTATTAGGCTCAGGCTGGGTACACAGGACCAGGGAGGTGCATCTTTATTCGAAATCCCTGAAAGGCTGAATCAATTCAGAATGAAGACAATGTCAAATGCAGAGCATTTGCGGGAACAGAAGCGAGGGGATGCAAGCATCTGATAAGGGGTGGGTACCAGGTGATCTTTAAATATCATTGCAGGCTGACATGTGATGAAAAATGCTGTGGAACAGATTAGAGACAGATAGGAAGTAAGAAGCAAGGAGCCAACCAGCATCCTAATCATTCTGGTCAGAAAGGTCCCATGTCTCATGGTAAACACAAGAATAAAGGGGGAAAAAACCATTCCATGCTTAACCCATTGCTGGAGAGGCCGGGGAGCAATGCCTGCAAATTTAGGAAGCTCTTAAGACCCTATAACCTCTTCCCAAGTGACACATGCTAAAATGGGAGACGGGAGGGAATTGGTGGAGGAAGCCTGGGGATCCTCATATGAATAATTTGCTCTCTTAATTCCCCACTTCCCACTTTCAAAAGGTATGAACCCAATCTTACATACAGCACTGTAGACGTTCCTGTCTGCTGATGTGAGAAAGCAAATGTGGCTTTAACTGTGAGGGCAGCCTCTCACTGTATGGAGGGTTGTGTCATCGAGTTAGTTCCCTTGAAACCTTGGGAATGAGAGACCCTACTGTCTCTCAGCCATCCTGTCCCTGCTTGTGTGAGCCACAGGAAAACTGGCCAAATACAATGCTCCTGCAAAGTAGTTATTGTGTCACGTGTGTTTCCCGAAACTAACTAGTTGTCCGCTGTCTATTGATAGGTCGAAATGAACTGCTGCATGAAAAAGATGCTTTTCCTACTGGCAAAGGGCTTGGACCATTGGAGTCAACCTGTGACTTTCCTGTGATAAGGCTTTGTGTGTCCCCTCCAACTTCTAGTCTCTGCCAATAAACCCAGAATCCCCACTAACCTTTGCTTGCTTACACAGGAGCAGCATGACTCCCTAGATGGCTGTGTTGGCTCCTACACCAGACCGATCTCCAGAAGGAAGGCTCTGCACGCTCGAGATCTCCTGGTGTGGTGGCTGCGAGATTTTTCCTGACATCCAAGTACATGCATCTAGTCCCAGGACTTTCTCCACAGCTCGTGAGTTCCCATGGGACTAAGATCACGATGCATGATGTCTCAAAAGAAATCTGCCTCTCTTCCACATGACATATTCACCTCTGTCTTGTAGTGTGCAGATGGCATGGTACCCAAAGTTCCAAAGGACACATAGACCCTAGGATCAGAGACTCTGAACAAAGAGCCCAGAGCATCTGCTAAGAGCATGCAGTAGTGTGCATCTGCTAAGATGCTGTACCTGGAAGTTTGCCTGGCCATTAAAGCTTGTTTGCACTTCGGAAACCAGTGCCTTTACATGAACATTTCCAGTAGAGGCTGAAGAGGTCAATATTTGTGTGTCTATACATACATGTGTATGTCCACTTTTAATTGGCATAAGAATTGCTTAGATTTATTAATGCAACATATTTTAAAATTATTGTTCCAATTTCCATACCATAAATAAGTGTACTCTTTGAGTGGTCTACTCCAGACCACTTTATTTTTTTTTTTAATTTGGTGCTTTTGTTGATAATTTTGATCTAACATGACTTTCAATCATAGCTCTGAAATACCATCCCATGATCCCAAACACAAGAAAGTGGTCATAAGCCATAAGTACACATAGCGAAGTATGTGTACAAGATGGGTGTTGATCTGTTGTTAGTTGAGTCATGTGTGAATGAGTCAGTCATCCATGTTATCTAAGGTGTTTTTTTCTAACAGAATCACACATACTATATGTACTGGTTAGTTAATAAAATATTGACTGCAAGCAGAGGCTCACAGAAACCTACCACTGTTTTTTTCTCTAGGAGCAAGGCTTCGGGGTTTTCTAGCTTACCATCCACAGGGACTTTATGGGAAAGAACTACCGCAAATAACAAGAAAAACATTTATGTTCAAAACAGCAATGGCCAAAGAACACTGCAGAAAAGTATCCTTCCTGGCTACCCCGGCCAGGTGACAAGTCTGACCACAGACAAGCACGTAGCAGTTGGGCTGTTCTTTGCACAGTTTCATGCTGTAGATCTGAAACCTTATCTTTCCCTTACGCCCAACCTTGATCTAGAACCCAGGTATTCCTTGGATGACACTCACAGGAAGCCTCTAAAAACCACTGGTGCAGATTCTATATACGGAGGCAAATGATGGTCTGAGCTGGTACTAGCCCAACCTTTACCACTGTGGTAACGCTTACTGAAAAAAATCTCAGAGACAGAGAAATGGAAGCAAAGGCTGATGGGATGACCCAAGACCTACTCTGCTGCTGGAAGCCCGAGCAGGAGCGGCAAGAGTTGGGAACTCTGAAGAGTGTGACCCAAGTATAGAGTGCTCAGACCAGGGGAGGAGCAAGATCAGAACACACCTTTTTCTAGGCCTCTCCCAGATTGATTGAGCCATGAAAAGAACCCACTGCTGGGAATCCTGTAGACTGGAATGGGGCTCTCACAGCCTTTGGGATTTTGTCTGGATGGTGAGGCCTTTCCCTAACTGGTTACTCTGACCCCTTGCTTTGTCCCTGCTCCCTACGGGCATCTTCACACTCTCCTGAGAAGTAGTTCATTCCCTAGAAGGCATCAGCAGTGTGAAGGCGACGCTGTGCATTTATATCTCTGGACCCATTGAGCCTGGGGGTGCGGGAAGGGGAACACTGTTGGCTGGAGGGACAAACCACCCCAGATTTCAGGAGCTGAGAGGGAACCTAGCAGGGCTCGGGAGAAATACTAAGAGAGTGGCTGCAATCAACAGGAGGTGAGAGAGGGGAGGAAATAGGTGTCCTATCTGGGAGGAAGCAGGGAGGTGCCTAGAGCTGGGGTGTTTCCAGGGAGTGCACATTTTGGAGCTGGGCTGGGAAGCCAGAAAGACATTTCTATTCAAATGTACTCACTGCCCTTCATTCCTTTTCCCGCCTATGGAGGCCTGGGTGGAGCTTCTGACGATCTCAGAAGCGGCTGTGCAGACAGAGCCAAGTCCCATGTTCTAGCATCTAGGTGGGGTCTGCAGAGGAGACTAACCTCCTTTATGAGCCCTTACAGAAGTACCTCTTCCTACTCAGGGCTATGCTGAGCTAGGCGAGTAAAAGAGGGAATGAGACTTAGATCTGTGGCCCTCCCTTCCTCCAGGACTCTGTCCACTGGCATCTCTTTGTCCAGGCTGTTCTCTGAGCTTAGAGACAAAGAGGGGGGTCTCCTAGAAAGTGGGAGGCTACCCTAGAAGGTTCCAGAACCCCAGCAACCTGTTTTGCTTCCATACCACCCCCTACAAAATAAGGGACAGCATCCAATCCTACTACTTACATGTATCTGGCTTGTGGCAATTGTGTCCCTGGCGGAAGTACTGGGGGTTCTCAATGACTGGGATGCGGGTCATGCCAATGACCACTGTGTCTGGCCCAGCGTCCAGCGATGAAGGTGTGGTGATGCCATGGTTGATGTGGTGCAGTGGGCTGGCTGAGTCCTCCTCACCACTGATGACAGCCACGGGACCTGCACAAACCATGAGAGACAAAGAACCTGGTGAGGTCGCATCCACTCAAAACCAGTCCTGCCCTCAGAACATTCACTGCTTTACCCCCATCTCCTTCAGAAGAATCCAGTCCATACGATCAGCAATGCCCAAATTCCCTCACCTCTGACCTTAGACAACTCCAGCCAAATTCTCTTCCTTGAAAATAGCTGACTCTCAACCATAGAAATAGTTCCAAAATAAAAAAAAAAGAATTGAAATAACTACTACATAAATCATTTTTGATTTCTCCCCAAGCCCAAATTAGCTGAAAATAATAAATCTCATGTTTCTTTGTTTATGCAGCAGCAACAAGACTTAAAAGCAGAACCTAGAAGCAGGTGTTTCCGTTCACCCCTCCTCTATTTGGGGCACGAAAATCGCTGCCATTGAAGGGCCAGAGAGAGCCTTAGCCTGCAAAGTCCTTGCCTCTCAAGCATGAGGATCGGAGTTATGTCCCCAATTGCCACCTAATACACCAGATATGGTGATACGCATTTGTCGCCCCAGGACTGGGTAGGCAGAACAAAGAAGATGCTTAGCCCTTATTGGCTATCTGTAGAGCTCCAGCCATAGTAAGAAACCGTGTCTAAAGAAAATAAGGTAGAAAGTAATTGAAGAAGAGCCCAAGGTCAACCTCTCACCTACATACACATGCACATATACACACAGAGATATGCATAGTCTGGGGTATACCTGGGCATTAATATTATCAATGTTCTCCATGTGTTTTGGTATACAGCCATGACCCAGAATCTATGATTGTGAAAATGGAGGTCCCATGACCTTTTAGCATTGCCACTAAATTTCCAGCGGGGTATGACATGGCTTCCACTGGACTCTGCCATAGCCTTCATCACTCCCAATGTGACCCTGAGCCTCACCCAAGCCATGTTTGACAAGGGACAGTAATTAGACTAGATCCCTGGTGGTAGCAGGACTAGCTGTCCTACTCTTGAAATATCCACATTGTCCCAACGTCCACAAAGCATAGCAATGACATCTTCGCCAATTCCATGCTCCCCATTTTCTAATCCTCAGAAAAAACCCGGTGAGAAAGGTGACTCAAAGGCACAAACGACAGCGATAATTAATGCTGCCGTCTTCGCAGAACAATGATTGTGTTTAGTGGTATATTTCTCCCACGCATACAAATAAAACTCCTGTAAAGGGAATTAGCTGTGACTGTCTGTGGGCTTCCTACGACTGGCGTTTTAAATGGCTGCTTTGCTAGACACAGGGTCCCCAGACAAAGTGCCTGCTGTGATTTGGTTTTGCAGCTTGAACAATATTTCCACTGCAAAAATCCATTACAACATACTGAAGTTTATGGAGAGAATATTTCCCATCAAACAGCGAGGTGAAGCGCCAATGAGGCAGAACTAAATGGAAGACTGGTAAATGCGAACGGCGGACCCTGGATTCCACTCCGTCAGCACAGGCAGGCTTATTCCAGCCCGTGACAAATGGCTGACGGTGTCTAGGGACCGTGTGCAAAAGTGGCAATAAGTGGTGGCCCAAATGCCCAGAGTAATCACCTGTCTTGCGAAAAGGAGCGCGTTCCTGAAAACGCTTTCCTTGGAAACTCATTGGGAAAACTTCCATAGGTACTTGCGGTGAAATGAGAAACACTAAGCCCTGGTATTAGCCACCACCCAAACCCTCGCCAAAATACAAAAGAAATGAAGAAATATTCGTGCACTACGAGAAAGAGAAGAGAATAAACAAGACCTTTCAACATTTGGGAAGTTGAAAAACACATCAAAGGAGGTTAGTGACTCAGAGCAAAACCAAAGAGCCCCAGTGGCATGTGACCTGTTGGGACCATGCATACAGAGCGTAGGGTGTCCAGAAGAACTCATGGTATGATGGACATGGTGCACAGGAAGATGGCAGGGTGGCCCATGCCTCAACAAGACAGCTGGGTCCACAGCCTTGTCCCTACTCCACAAGAGGAGTAACTTATTCCGACAGAAGTTGATTCAAAAGACACAGGAGAAGGTTTGGGTGAAGCACAACGCTGAGCCCTTTCTTCCCGTTTCTAGGACAATCACATGTGTGCTCAACCTGTCCACCCCTTCCCAAGAGCCGCTCACCCCTGGATGTGAGAAGATGCTTCCAAAGTGAAAGCCAGAAAGTAGGCTTCCAGATGTTGACATTTTTACTCTTCCTGCTGAGAAGCCACCCTGGAATCAGTTCACAGTGAAGCTGACAGTGTGCATGACAACCTCCTTCACACAATATGGGATGCTTTCAGCTTCCCAGAGCTCAGTTCTTAAATATAGAGACAGTGCTGTGTGCAAGACCACCAGACATCTCCGAAGAGTTTCGGCACCAAAGAAAGCAACAAGCATTCAGAGCCTGCAGGAAATAGGGGGCAATGTACGAAGACTCAGAAAACCAATACAAAACCCAATAGTCTCGGGGAGGTAAATATGACATGAAAATATTAAAAGGGCAGAACTTAAAAAGTGAACAATTCAAGGTAAGAAAGTGTCTCTGAGAACATCAGTCATCAACATTTTAAGGTCAAGAGTTCGAGAAGTCAAGAAAATCTTCCAAAAATCAAACTAAAAGGAAGGAGTTAAAACTAAGCAAGAAAAAGTAAATTTTCATACCAAGATGAAACAAAAAATTAAGAGAAGCTCCAGGAATGATCAGGAGAGAATAAATGAAAAATGTATGGAAATTCTCTCTACCATCTCTCCAGTTACCTACTGAGATCCTAGTATAATTAATACATACACAAGTGTAATTTCCTGCTTTGCCCCACCCCACACAGACACACACACACACACACACACACACACACAGAGAGAGAGAGAGAGAGAGAGAGAGAGAGAGAGAGAGACAGACAGAGAGAGACAGAGACAGAGGCAGAGACAGAGAGAAAGAGAGAGGGGAGTATTAGGGGGGATGCCAATATGTAAAAATTGACCTCACAGTTCCCTTTTCCAGGACAGTCAGAAGGAAGGACTCCATCAATCCAGGCAGTAGGTAAGGGACAAAAGCAGAGCAACCATCTCAGGCCACAGGAACATGGGATGAAGGCACAGACGGAGGAAACAGTGGTGGATGCAGCGTTTACAGCCAACAGCCCCACTCACTCCAGAGCTCATGGTTTAATTATAACAAGACACTACTTCCTTTACCATCATTACCAAACACGGACCCCAAGAAGGAGCTCAGCACCTCCCCATCTCTTTCTTTTTGATCATTATGGGATATGGGTTATTTTGGTGGCATGGGAGAAGGTGGCGTTGGGGGAAGAGGTAACATGAAGACTTCAACCTTTGTGAAAAGCTCTTTCTTCAACCTGTCTCTTAAAAGTTCCTGGGGAATGCACAGTCAACAAAATTTTCTTTCCAAGAATCTGTGACTTAAAACAGTTAAAACCTATCTTTCCTTTGCATTGTTGTTGATTTTGAAAGGGTTGAAGTAATAGTAGTGGGGGGGGAGGACTCCCAATGAATGGGAAGGAAGAGTTCATCTAAGAAAGCTTCATATAAATAAACAATAAACCAGTCTATAGAACCCTGAAAGACCTAGACACTTGAACGTGGGCACTGTAAAGGAAGCAGGGGAGGGAGTAGAAAAAAAATGGTCAGAAAATAGAAAAGAACCAGAAAAAAATATGGTCTTAGAAGCCAAAAAGAACCATCTAGGAGTGCAAAAGAATCTATCCTGAGGTCAAATAGGATAAACAATGAAAGGGGAGATGGAGAGATGGCTTAGTGGTTAAGAGCACCAGCTATTCTTCCAGAGGACCAAGGTTCAAATCCCAGCACCCACATGTTGGCTCATAATCTCTAACTCCAATTGCAGAGGATTCAGTATCCTTTTCTGGCCTCTGAGTGCAGTAGTTTCATACACAGTACAGACAGACATGAGGGCAAACACCCATGCCTATAAAATAACATACAGCAATTAAAAAGATAAAAATGTAGACTGAAAACTGGCATTCGAACATGAGGATGTTGGCCTTCCAGAGATGAGTTTCACAGACTGACAGAGGAAAGTGCCAAAGTTCTGCAGAGTTGGAGAAGTTTCTGTGGCTTTTATTCAGTTCTTCCTAAGTATCAAGTTATACCATTTGTAGCTCCTTTAATCTTGGAACACCTCTGTGAGGTTGCTGGCATTATTGTCCCCACTTTAAAGATGGAGGTGTGAAGGTAATGACCTGTTCCAAGACATAAACCCCACAGAGAAGCAGTGACAGAATTCACACTTGTAGCTTGGCCCCAAGGCCAGCACTCAGAACCATCACCTGGCGCTGCCTCCTACAAGAGAAGATTGTGGGGATGTACTTGCTCAAAGGGATACATGCTGAATTCTGGCTCACCATCCTCCCATGAGCAGCTGCTTTTGTTGGCAAGAGCCTGAGACACTTATGAAAGGGATTGTTCTTAACCCTGAAAATTGGGGAGCAGCAAATCACCCCATTAGACTCACCCAGGGAGATTACAGATAATTCATCTTCGTGTCTCACCAGCACTGAAATAGTGTTCCTAAACTATGTCCACAATCAGAATAGAGCATGGCAGCATCAGGACCATTGTCCACTACCCAAAGTCCCCTTAGCCATCATCGCTCTAAAGTAAAGGCCAATAAACTGCTAAAGACGTGAAAGAAGATTCTCGCCATCCCTGCCTGCCTGTGCCTGAGACCAACAATCTCTCATGGGAGTTGCATAGGGCCTACTTGGAGATGATTGTTGTGAATCCACAGCACCCCTGGTCTGAATGAGAGTCTCAGGCTCATCATGGTATAACTGTTAGTTGTGTTCATCATGAAGACAGAATGCACGTATGAGGACAGGGCTAACGGGAAGCCTGTGTGTGCACCTTCCATTCAATGTTATGTACCCAAAGGATGAGGCGGGGAGATATGCTTTAAAAAAACTAAAAAAAAATTAAGTCAATCTTTATTCTGAGCATATGTAGTTCAGTGTAGTACACTTGCCTAACATGTGCAAGCCCCT